ATCCTATGTCGATTGCACCGGCAGCCAAACCACGTCCTCTCGGACGTCACACTGTAGTTAGTCAGTCATTCAAGCTCACAACAACTGTTCCTACGAGACGACGGTTTTGCCTCGACGATGGCGGTGTCGGTCCAGGTCCCCTCTCCTCTTCGCGTTGCCTTGCATGCGACAATGCATGTCTGCGTAGGAGCAAGTGCCTCTCTACGAAGGCAAAGAAGACGCCAACGGTCTCCGCACGGGTTCTGGTAGTTCGACCTCTTGCCATTCCTCTAGACTACTGTCGTGGGCGTAGGCAAACTCGTCTTTGCAAACGGCGACACGTACGTCGGACAGTTTGCGCAGGGCTACCGGCACGGCGCCGGCATCTTCACGTACGACCGTGGCCAGCGCGTCTACGAGGGTGAGTGGAAGCTCAGCTTGCGGCACGGCAAGGGCAAGGAGACGTGGCGCGTGAACGACACCACGCTCTACAGCTACGACGGCGAGTACGAGCGAGGCGTGCCGCACGGCTACGGCCTCGAGCGCAAGAAGCTCGCCAAGTACGCGGGCGAGTTTCAGCATGGGAAGAAGGAGGGCCATGGCCGCATGGTGTGGCCCAACGGCGACAGTTATGACGGCCAGTGGCGCGATGGGCGCATGGGCGGCCTCGGCAAGTTGGTGCGTGCAATCGACGGCAGCTCGTACGACGGGCACTGGGTACACGGTCTGCGGCACGGTCGCGGCAAAGCCATTGGGCCAGACGAGGTCCGAGCTATTCGAGTTTTGTAGTATTGCATGACAAGGTGTGCATATATAGGTCTACGACGGACTGTGGAAGGAAGGATTACGGCATGGCGATGGGACGGTCGTCGCCAACGCGCACGAGCGCAGCGGTGTCTGGGACAAGGGCGTTCGCGTCAAGTGGACGACCCCTGAAAAGTTGATCCAATCCATTTGATAAGAGTATCCAACTACACTATAAAAGAGACGTATACAACGGACGTATGTATCCACGAGGTAGAGTTGGTGCTTTGGATAGATATACAACTTGTCATTTGCGGGCCAGGATGTCAAAAAAGTACTGCGACTCGAGCGCGCCGTCCTCGGGCAAGTCGGTGCAGTGCACCGCGTTCTGGACACGGTCGACGCCGAACCGAGCTCGGATCGTGCTCGGCTTGAGCTCCCGCGCCATGTCAATGTCCCACGGACCTGCAATCTCTCGAAAGCGCTGCACCTATACGAGACAGGAAGCCATGAGCCGCCGCGAGCGATGACGTCCTCGTACGACTTCGCCCGAGCCCTGCAGCTCGAGCGCGATGCACGGCCCGCTCGTCAAGTGGTCGACGGCTTCGTTGAAGTGCGGTACGACGCCATCGTAGAGCTACGCACGTCAAAATCAAAAAAAGGCGGCGGGTTGGTGGGTTCGAAGCCGACCTCGAAAAACTCGGACGCGGACGTGCGGTCGAGGCGGAAGAGCTCCATGGCCGAGATGGAAAGACCGCATTCGAGAATCGCATCGATGACAGACCCGACGTGGCCCTCCTTGAGCACATGTGGCTGGATCACGCAACACGTACAGTTGGCAAACGTCGCGGGCGACGGCCACGGCTTCTCGACGTACTGGTCGTGGAGCCTACGAGACGTCGACAATGGGCGAATTCGATTACTGTACTGGACGTACTGTTGCGCCTCCAAGGCGGACGCAGCGACTTCGAGCGGGTGGTTGAAGCGGCCTTGGACGGTCGCTGCGACGTTGGGAAGACGCTCAATGGCGCTGTCGCCAACCACCTCGATGGCCACGACGGGCACGCGGTCGCGCAAAAACATCTTGACAAACGAAAGCGTGAGCTGGTTGTGCTGGAGCTGCGTGAAGAGCGCGCCAAGCGCTGGGAGGTGCGAAAGGAGCAAAATGGACTTCTGCGCCTGCTTCGCGAGCTGGCTCGCCGTGTGGCTGTCGAGGTACTCGGTGAGCTCAAAGTGGCGGCCAAAGAGCACGACCTTGCCGCCGAGGAAGAAGTCCTTGGCGACGACCGACGACGGGCACTCGGTCTTCTTCAAGAAGAGCTTGTTGGTCTTGCAGTCGAGGATCTCGACGTGGTGACTGTCGTGGAAGTAGCGCACGTTAAAGTTGCGGTGCATCCTACACCCAAGCCATGACGTGGCAGCGTGGTACGCGTCGTCGCCTACTGCGCATGCTGGTCGAACCACTTGGCCTTGAAGCCGTAGATCGTCTCGCGAACCGCCTGCATCGCAAAGGGCAAAGTGCCGAAACCGGCGCTCGCCGAGCGTTTGGTTGCGTGTTTTTATAAGTCCCATATTCAAAACAAATATGTGGATAAAACACGCAGCCACATCGAGTCGAGCGCTTGATTGCAACGGCAACGTCGCAAGGCCAGCCCATCCTCGCTCTCGCCTCTTCCGTGTTGACGGACTCGATGCTCGTACCTTCAACGCATGGTCTTCTTATACACGATGTTGAACTAGCCCCGACGAAGCGGCTTTGAGAGAAGGACCAACGCTCCGGGATCCAGATCTGAGTTGAAGGTGGGACGAGGTGCACTCCATCTTGGCAGCTCAGCTCAGACACGCTTTGTGCACTCGAGAGGACACATTACGACGACTAGGATTTTAAAAACTCAACACGGATGCTGCGGCTGCTATACGACGTGCTTGGCGCGCTGCATGTCGCGGTTCGGGTTGAAGAACTGGGCTTCGATCGAGACGCTCGCGTCCCCGCGGCCGCAGTGCACTTGGATCATGCGCGCGCTACACAAATCTCGTTGAAGCCGCCAAGCAGAAGAATGCACTACCTCGAGAGAAACACTTCTTCAAACTCAATGTGCGGGCACGACACGTAGACAGCGATGACGCCAAAGTCCATGTGATGCAGCACGACCGAGTCGTCCGAGATCGAGCACTGCGCTCCGTTGACCGCGATCCAGCGCGGCGTAAAGTGGCTGCCGTACGACGCGTCGAGGACCTGGAACGGGTGCACCCCGATCGACAAGAGCGTCGGAGAGACAGGACACGACGACATGTTCTGCACGACGAGCCGGAGTTCGACGATTTGCATCACCGAGAGCGCGCCGTCCCGCCACACCGAGCTATGTACATATAAACTTCAGACAACGTGTCCATCGAACGTCATCAGTACCGGGTCGTGCGTGAGTTGGAGCGGCGCGCGAGAACGCCCCAGAGGTCGAGGCCCTGGCCGCGGCCCATGGCGACGACCGACTCGTCCTTGGTGTACGCACCGCGCGGCAGTAGCATCGACTGGTCGAGGTACTTCCACTTGTGGTACATGGCCGTGAAGGACCGCGTGAGGAGCAGAATCTCGTCCTTGGGGATGCGCCAGCGCTGCATGATGAGCGCTTCCCAGAGATACGCTTGCTTGCCGTCCATGATGCGTCGCTTCCACTCGTGGGATGTCTGCGCGACGCGCGTGAGCATGACGCCGTCCAAGAACCGAAGCACATGGGGGCAAGTGTCAACGAGCACCGAGAGGCTCGAGGAGGATGACGACGAAGAGAGGCTGGTCGTCTTGGGCGCCTTGCGTGGCTTCTTGTGCACCACGGCCTTGTGCGTGCTAGGCAAATGCATGGTGAGGCGCGGCGGCGCGGCCGAGACAAGAGGCGTGATGGAGCAAGGAATCCAGAGCATCGTCGAGCCGTTGCTGTGCAAGGTCGCGGAGGCGCTGGTCGTCGCGACTGCTGCTGCGTGGTGCGCAGGGGACGCGTTCAATTGCTGCTTGAGGCGCTCGTTCTCGGCCTCCAAGGCGCGAATGCGTGCTGGATGATCTTGGCACGGCTGTTCTTGCGGCTAATTGGAAGGCGCAACGCCTACATATCGTCTCGTCAGTCTCGTCATGGTGGTCGTCGTCGTAGTCGACCTACCGCGAGAAGCTCGTCAAAGCCCGTGTTGACCTCGACGCGCGTGATCTTGGCGCGCGACTTCTTGCGCTCGTAGCTAATGTCCTGGTTCGAGAGGCCCGACGTGCTCTCGTCCATGTCGCCAAGGCTGGCGGGCGTGCGCGGCGCGTCACGCTGCTTGCTGTGCATCCACGTCATGGATGCTTCCGGCAGCGCCGGTGCAGGGCCCGCGGGCGCGCTAAAGAGCTGCGCAATGTCGACGTCCCAGAGGCCGTCGCCATGCGCCGGGAACTCGTCCGCCCGCTGCTGCTGCTCCATCGCCGGATGATGACTGGACCAAGGTCCGAGCAATATTTTTGGCCCGTCGAAATATTATGGTCGGTCGCTCGCACTTGAAGTTCGTTTTCTTTTCTTTTATATTACGCTTCTCTTGACATTTCTATGCAACGGCCACAACCTTGTAATATTATTTCCGAGCAATTTCATTGCTCGAAATCCGGCGCAGCAGCGTCGGCCGGCGCCGTGTCCACGCGGCCATGCCCCGCGAGGGTCCCGGCCATGGTCATGGCCACGATGGCCCACGGCGAACGATGGCGTGACGAGACGCCGAGGGATGGCCTGGACCGGCGAGGCTACTGCGCGTGGCGGCGCGAGGCGGCGGCGCCATGAAGCGTCGGTGGCCGTCGACGCGACATGTGGCGCAAGTCGTTGGATTCCTGCCATGTGCAATGACCCTCATACAAGCTGGATCGCGAAGACGGGTCATGCTAATAGGACATGGGCGTGGACGCGCGGAAGGAAGTCCCCACGGGCGTCTCTCGTAAAGAGACGAGGCTATCCCGCTACCGTAGAGGCAGTAACTTGCAGCGTCGTCGGCGAGTAGCTCGACGCTGCGCTCGACTGCTGCGTCCCACGAAACCAACTTCAAGCGCCTATCCTCGCCAGGAATGCATCCGAGATGCCAAGATCGCGAACACGTGGTTGTGGTCCTGGGTGCTCTGTGGACGCGGCGTCCCCACGTGCCCCTCCTTGCTCCGCACGCTCGCACTAGCATAGGCGTAGGGATGTTCCCATTAGCTTGCGCCTCGACGAGTCGATGGCCCGCTCTCTTGGAAGCGTACACTGTACCGTCGGCAATGTTGTCGAAGGCAAGATGCCCTGAACTGCAACCTGGTCGGGCACGTGCATGCGCTCCAACCCATTGGTCCTCGCTTGTAAGGCCTGTCTTTTCCCAGTCGACCACGGATTGCAGTTGCAGCTCCCTCAGGCGTGCTACGTGATAAACTTTGCTCCTGCGGCTGGCTGTTGACCTGATCCGAGCCAGCTTCGTGGCACTCGGTCGTCGCTACTCATTGCAATGGAAGTGAACGCGCCGTCGATCATCCCACTCTACACGTGGCACGCTGAGCAGGCAGCGAGCGTATAGCACGCGACACTAAAGTTAGCACCAACTGTGGCGCTCGTCGCCTGGCGTGACCTCTCGCGCAGCCTCGAGGCGTTCGGTGAAACGGGTGTCTTTTCCACTAAAAGGGCAGCCAAGATCGCGGCCTTTGGTGTTCATTTCGGAAATCGCCGGCGATGGAGAAGGAGGCAGCGCTGACGCAGCACCAAGGCGGCTTGGCCGAGTACCCGAGCCGGAAGCCGCTCCAGAAGGCGCTCGTGGTGTCGATCCTCGTGTACATCGGGTCCTTTGCCTTCACGTGGTACAAGGTGTACTGGGACACGCTCATTTCGCTCGCGTTCGTCGCCCTTGGCTACTATGCGATCTACGACCCCAACAGTCGCCCGATGGGCAAGGCCTTCCACCTCGTACGTCATCTGTCTGCGCCACGCTGGCAACGACGATATATTGTAGTTTTACATTGGGCTCATGCTGTGCATTCTCTTGCACACGATTGCGTTTGCGCTGCTCGTCGCCGAGCTTGTGAGCAGCCAAGTCGAAGCGGTGCTCAACCTCAAGCTCATGGACTCCCCGACGGGCCTCATCATCTTTCTCATCATTCTCGAGGTCGGCTACATGACGCTCACGGTACGATCAACAGAAGCTAGCATCAGTGGCCACGAAATGATGATGTCCATAGGGCGTCGCGATCGGGCTGTGCTACCGCCTCCGCTGCGAAGTCGACGGTATCGTCGACGACCCGATCGAGTACCACGAGCTCCTCTAATCGCTACGACCCTCGTGTGTTGTGTATACCGTCGTTCTAATGTCAAGTACATCTGCATCCTTGGAGCGTCTTATGCCATCAACCACCACGCCAACGACAGTAGAATGGAAAACCAACGGATGTTGAGCTCGGATACGTGAGTTAGTATTGCGTTGATGCGATCGTCGGCGCGAGCTACACCCTACTAGTACTGAACATGCAGTGAGGCATCGACCATGGCTTGGCGGGCTGTCTTGGCCGCGACTGCAGCAGCGACCGCCTCGGTATCACTGAGAAAGGCGCAACCGAGACACGCGAGAGCCATACAAGAACCTCGGGCGGTAGCATGCCCAGCCGCGTGCCGAGGAGAGACAACGAAGGCGTCGTCTTGCTGCGGGAACGCGTCGGTGGTCGAAAGGATGCGGCCCGTGCTCTCGTTGATAAGGAACCATGAGAGCACCTTACTGGGTTGCGACGCATCACGCGCACAGCGGCGCAAGTGATGTGCCACCGACGACTGCAACACCACGATCCGACCATTGTATACGCGTGATAGGCGATGACTGCTTCTGTAGCTTTCGAGTGGCGTAGTGTACCTCGGTGTGCGTGAGGAGGGTGTCGACGACCAAGTTGACGCGAGCGAAAGTCTCGAGCACGGCCTCGACGTTGACGACGTCGTAGAACAAGAGTGCCTGGAGCGAGACGGCTTCGTTCCCGTACTGCGCTGCCAGGGCGCTAGGTGCGGCGATACCTCGAACGCCTGCACTTGACAGAGCACTTGATGCGACTCGAGCGTGGTGCGGTGGTCGCTTTCCACCCACGTACGTCGGCACAAGACGACCTCGTTGGCCGTGGAAACAACATGGGACGCAACGACTTTGGCTTGCGCTTTTGTACGCGGTTCGGGAAGGTTTCACCAAAGGACGCGCCAGCGCTGAGGAGCGGCAACATCACCTCGAGGGATGTGGCATTGGCTCTTGGGACGTTCTGGATGTCCCTCTCCAACACGACAGGATTTGTGGTCGTGTCCCACGTCACGGGTGTCGGCAGCATCTGAAGGATCGGGCAGACAGCGGCGATTGGAGCGTCCAGGCTCGCTGTGGAGGGCACGTTCACGTCAGCTCTACGCGATGACAATAGCAGCGCGCAGTCGCTGTGCCCATGCTCGATGGCCAGAAGGAGGGCCGTCGCGCCATCCTAGCAGCCACGCGGTGCATGCATTTCCATGTAGTAGTAGAGTACATGTACTTGGTGCGAACCTACCTTGTTGGTTGTTAGGGCGTTGATATCGTGTGCTGCCATCGCCAAGAGCCTTTCGAGATCGACGACGTGGCCAGCACGTGCCAACGCATGCAACGCCGTGTTGCCGCAGTACGGGCGAAGTGAACTCCAAGGCGAGGTGTCCATCTCGTTCAAGAAACGCGAGGCGCAACTGGTTGCAAAAGCCGCAACGAGATGGTATTGGTGCCGCACTTGTGTGCCATACACAGCGCCCTCAGTTGCGCGCATGATAAGCCTCATGTCCGAATGACGGACGTCTCGACGTGGCCGCGTCGTTCGGTTGTCAACGTCGATCCGAGTATCCGGATTCGGATGAAAACCATCTGGGTCCACCAATAACCGATAGTGAACCTTACGGTTGGCATCCGGGCTCTGGCCGTCCACCAAAACACGCCCCATGCACTCGACTGTGGCGCTTGCAACCAGGACTAGCGTTGTACGGAGCAATTGCGCCGAGCCCTTTGCGAAGACGACCACCTCGAGCCGACGACGTACTACACAAGAGCAAGGGTAGCTTTTGACTCTTGACAAGAAGCATGTTGGCATGACCCCATGCCATGACCCAGCCGAGGTCAGAGAAGGACAAGATGCAGCAAAAACGACAGCAAACGTCGGCACAACCGTTGGGCCTTGCATATCAGAGTCAGCAAGCATAGCAGGGTCGGCAGGCATGTCGAGTTCCGTTGCCTTCATCGGCGGCAACCGAGAAGCGGAAGATCGCCCGACAAGGCTACGTGGAGTCGGGCTACGATGCTACGGTGCACACGCAGCAAGCACCCCAGTTGCATTGCCAGGCCACGATGGACCGTACCGGTAGCTCCATTTTCCGATTTTAAACGAGAGAAGAAATTCGCTTTGGTTCAACGCTGGATCGACCAGATGGTAAACGCGCCCTGTCGCGCTACAACCGCTCACTTTTCGATTTCTCGGCAGCATGCGTGTCGCTTTCCAGCAAGCGGCGGCCCTTGTCGTCCTCGCCACGTCTGCGCACGGCTTTGCCTCGTACGCCTCGAACCCGCCGCCGTTCCAGCCGTGGTCACCGACCGACACGACCAACATGGCGCCGTGCCCGATGCTTAACGCGCTCTCGAACCATGGCGTCTTGCCGCGCAGCAACATTTCGGCCTCGGACCTGCGTTCTGCGCTGGGTGCGCTGCAGTGCGACAGCCTCATCCAGCGCATCCTTTCGAGTGATAGCGTCATGGCGCTGGGCCATGGCGGCTTGTTGACGCTCGCCGACCTCGATGTGCACGGCGCGATCGAGCACGATGCGTCGCTCACGCGCCAGGACGCGGCCCTCGGCGACAACACCAAGCTCGACCCAACGCTGCTCTCGGCGTTCAAGGCGATCTCGGCCGACGGCAAGTACATCACTAAGTCGGAGCTCGCGGCCTACCGCGTCGCGCGCGCCGCCGACAGCAAGGCGCGCAACCCATCCGTCCGCTTTGGCGTGCGGGAGCAAGTCACTGCGTACGCCGAGGCCGCGGTGCTCTTCGTAGCGTTTGAAGACGACTCTGGCGCGATGCGCCTCGACTGGCTCGAGATGTTTTTCGCCCACGAAAAGCTACCCTTTGAACTGGGCTGGACGCTGCGCCGCATCTCGCTTGCCCGTGTGCTTCTTGTGGCCGGCGAGCTGCGTGGCTCGGCCTTTGGCGCCCAAGTGCTGGCCATGATCGCTTAAGTATTCGTTTTATATGTGTGTTTGTGTGTTGTGGACTTGGTGGTGGGACCATGTGATGAGTTGTATCTGTGCGCTGGATTGTGCTCCATGAAGTGCGTCATCCCTGCGTAGCGCTGCCTTTAGCCTCAACCAAAAGGGATCGACCCAGGTTCATAGGCTCACAGGTTCAAGAGCACGATGCAGAAGGCCACTCGCAGGTTGCCTACGTAGTCAATCATCATCGTGCTAATGGCGGAGATGCAACAGCTAGCAGCACAGTACGGTAGCAGCCTTCACATCGACGCTTTCCAGCATGTGTCGCAGCCTCGCGGCTGACCAGGGTGGTGGCACTTGACGATCCATGAGCGGCGCGTCGTTGCTGATGCTTGGTGCTTATCGCGTGGCCATGGGCACTCGCATGACGATCACAGAGATCGCCATCGTCGCATCCCACCTCGGGCTTGCATGAGCTCGTGCGTGCCTTGCACCTCGTACTTACCGGATGCGTGTCAACAGTCCCTCTGAAGTGCGAACTCAACCGGTTCTCGAGCCGGCTGAGCCAGCCGGTTGCGGGACGGGAGCGCTGGGACCAATTGAGTTGTCGCGCCATGGCCAAGACAGCAGCAGCAAGAAGCGTGGAAGCTCGCGACGATGCGCGTCGGCTCATGCTACAATGCAATGTAGAGGACAAGGCGCCAGCCAAGAAGAAGGTACATGCCAAGCCGACGCTCAAGAAAGGCCAGCCCTTTGCCGCCTTGAGCAAGGGCCACAAGTGCGTGAATGCGATAACTGTCTCTCGTATCCTCGTCCCTCACCACGCCCACAGACGCCCATCGGGCCAGCCGAAGGCGAATGTGACCAAGACCGTCCAGCGACCGACCAAGCACCAAGAGCTCCAGCGCAAGCAGCGCCTCGACGAGCAAAAAAACTTTGAAGAGCGGATGAATGCGACCAACCTTCGGAAAGAACGCGCTGCGTCGACGCCTGCCTTTGTCATGGCCCCGCCACCTTTAGCTTTCTCGGGTAGCATGTCTC